ACACCCAGTGTGGGAGCCTGTCTGAGCACCCCGAGGTCTGGGTGCTCAGCACTCTGAAGTCTGGTATAGACTCCTGACCAATCAGGCGTGCTGTCAGATGGCCAGGTCTTCAGAGACCTCAGGGAGGCAGATGATGACCAGGGGTTAGGTTTTTTCATTTCCAGATGTTGCCTGTGGGCAAATGGTTATCCCAAGATCACCCAGGATTCTCCAGGTATTCAAGGACTTGCAGGATTTTGACAAATGCCAGCAGAGTAAGCCCTTTACAAATGAATGACAACGAGCCGTGAAAAACCCTCTGCAAACAAAAACCAAAAACCCAATTCCCAGACCTGCTCACTGGTGCTTGAAATTGCTTTGAGAGACAACAGCTTTCATCTCACAACTAGAGAAACATTTGAAAGGCTGAGGGTGAACTAACTCATTGATTTAGACTAATGCACATTACTGTATAAATGGGCTGAAGGACTGGATGATGCAACAGGCACCTTAAAAATGGTGCGAAGTGAGGCCAGCAGGTGGCGTGGTGATTAAGGCTCTGGATTCCCACATGATTAGCTGTGGTTCAAGTCCCAGACCTGACGGCTTAACAATCACTCTGAGTGCATAAGCGTACATGCCCAAAGTTCCGAGAGGAGGTGGAGGAGAAAGATTGTGGTGTGGCTATCCCCCTTGAGGGTGATGTCTCATTTTCCCTCTCACTGTCTCTCTCTGTCTCACCAGTAAGTGCACAAACACACACACACACACACACTCTATGGCAAAAACCTAAAAAAAATAAATTGTATAGTGACAAGGGATGCTGCAGAGAAAGATATTTTTATTTTTATTTTTTGCCTCCAGTAGTTTTAAAAAATTATTTAATTGTATTTATAAATTAATTTAAAAATAAAAATTTATTTATAATTTTTTTAATTTTAATTTGACCAGAGAGGGACAGAGCAAGAGAGAGAGAGTGAGAAAGCAAGCCGCCAGGTCCAGGACTCCAGAACCATTGTAGACCATGTGAGAGCCCAGTGCCCTTCACCATAATCCACCTGCCAGCCCCTCTTTGACTTATAAAGAACAATCCTGGGTCATCAGGCAGTGTCTTGACCTGGAGGGACAGTTGAACAGGTTTTTTGAGTGAAGGAGTGAGAGCCGGGACAAGTGGCGTAGTGTTATAGCATTGAGACGACAGTGTCGTCTGTTTATTGTGGGCAGCACGGTACAGCACAGAGACGACGCAGTGTCGCGTCGTCTACTGTGAGCAGCACGGAGACGACGCGGTGTCACAGTTTTTTAGGGTTGTCTGGAGACGATGTAGTGTTACAGCTCTTTAGGGTCTCCCAAGTCATTTGGAGACGATGTAGTGTCAGTTTTGGATCTTCAGGGTTGTCTGGAGATTGTGTGGTGTTTTAGCTCTTTAGGCTCTTTAGTTGTTGTTTTTTTGGTTGTTGTTGTTGTTTTGGTCGTCTGTGTTGTCTGGCTATTGTGGGTCAGGTATTGTGGTTATATACACTTTGGTGGGTTGCAAATGGTGGGCTGTGATTGGTTGTAAACGGTGGGCCGTGATTGGTTGTAAATGGTGGGCTGTAATTGGTTGTTAATGGTGGGTTATGATTGGTTGTTTTTGGACCAATCATGAGGTTCTGGATATGTAAATTTGAGGGATTTTAGTGGCCAATCAGAGTAAGGTTTTGAAGGCCAGGTTTTTGGAAGGGAACCAATCATGGTAATTGTTTGTTTTCTGAGAAACCTTGGCAGACTCGCTGGTGCACAGCCTCCCACATATCCCCCCTCTCTGTTTTAATTTGAGAGATGAGGAAAAGGTTTGGGGGAATCGTGCCTGTCTTAGGTTGGAGTCATTTATGGAACCATAAGTCTATTCTTACCCGTTATTGGAGAGTTTTATAGTTATGATGGGCTTCCTGTCTTAGGTGGAAGGACTGAACAGTTATTGGGTTTATTAGACTTTTTTATTTGTCTTTGGCTAACTGATTTAGTGCCTCAGGCAAGACTAGTATGGGAGTGTTGGTTTTTTATCTCTAATCTAGTATAGTGGACCTGGATAGGCTGCATATAACAGGTCCCAGTGAGTAAACAATTAAAAAGGTAATGAATGGGCCAAAGAGGGTGAGTAGGAAAGGGAGGAGACCATTTTAGTAGACCATCGGCAACGTTGTTGGAGAGATTTTTGGAGTTGATGTATTTTGTCACGAGTGATGCCAGACTTGTTGGCATAAAAGTAGCAGCATTTTTATAAAACAAGACAGAGACCCCCCTGTTTTGCCAGGAGGCGATCTAAACCTTGTCTATTTTGAAGAACCATCTTAGTCAGGGAATCTAGTTGGTCTGAGATAAGACCCTCAGTGACTTGGCGTAATAATCTAAGCCAGTGGAGTTGGCAGCTATAGTTGTGGTTAGGGGAACATAAAGGCTGAGAGTTTTGAGATTTAAGGATAGTTTGGGCTAATGTTTGTCAATTAGACGATGTAAGCCAGCCCTCGGTGATAGTTTTAACTATAGCTAAGGTATATGGAGTAGTAGCTTTGTATTGGGCAACTGTCGCCTTAATCTCTTTTACCATAAACTTGTTGTGACGGCGCCAAACTTGTCTTTGGGGATCTGTAGTTTTTATAACAGGGAATGTCACAAAGTATATTGTATGTGATTTTTGAACTAGTTTTGTTTCTTTGTATTGGTTTTTAGTTTCTCTAATTGTGATACAAAAGGTATTTGTATGGATAATATTAAACTCACAATGTAGAAAATGTTATATGCTATGTAGACTCTTTTGTTATATCTCTGCATCAGTAACAACACAAACATATGTAGTGGAATAAGGTTGATGATAAACACATAACTATCCTAAGTAGAGACCATATAGAAATATGATAAACAGTAGTACATTGTCCAAAAAACTGACTCAGTTTTTGACTTATTTTTTATTGGCTCTTGTAGAGCCTTAAGGTTGTTTTTGTTTTTTAGCTTTTTGGATTTTTTGGGTTTTGTCTCGCCTTTAGGGCTTTTAACTTCTCCCTCACTATCTAGGAAAATAAGATCCTCTCCCTGTTCCTTTTCAGTTTTAGAATCTTTGGTTAGATTGACCATAGTGGCACGGGATTCTTTTAAGCCCTGAATGAATAGTTTGTGCTGACTAAGCTCTTGTTTGTACTAAATTTTTGTTTGTGTTGACTAAGTTCTTGCTTGTGTTGACTAAGCTCTTGTCCCATTATTACCGTTATTATTTGTCTCATTATTACCCTTATTACTTATAAGTAAGTGATCTTTGTTATTTACTGGGACGATTTTTTGTTGTTTTCTGGGCTTTTTTTGGGACGATTTCCTGCCGTCTTCCTCTGCAGCCTTTCTCGGGACGATTCTCTGCCATCCCCTTCCTGGACAATTTTCTGTCGTCCTATCTCGGGATGATTTTTCGTCGTCCCCTTCCCGGACGATTTTCTGCCGTCCTATCTCGGGACGATTCTCTGCCGTCCCTTCCTCAGATGCTCTTCATTGGATTTTTTGTACTCAAGTCCCTGTTCGGGTGCCAGGTGTCTTGACCCGGGGGGACAGTCGAATAGGTTTTTTGAGTGAAGGAGTGAGAGCCGGGACAAGTGGCGTAGTGTTATAGCATTGAGACGACAGTGTTGTCTGTTTATTGTGGGCAGCACGGTACAGCACAGAGACGACGCAGTGTCACATCGTCTACTGTGAGCAGCACGGAGACGACGCGGTGTCACAGTTCTTTAGGGTTGTCTGGAGACGATGTAGTGTTACATCTCTTCAGGGTCTCCCAAGTCATCTGGAGACGATGTAGTGTCAGCTCTTTAGGATCTTCAGGGTTGTCTGGAGATTGTGTGGTGTTTTAGCTCTTTAGGCTCTTTAGTTGTTGTTTTTTTGGTTGTTGTTGTTGTTTTGGTCGTCTGTGTCATCTGGCTATTGTGGGCCAGGTATTGTGGTTATATACACTTTGGTGGGTTGTAAATGGTGGGCTGTGATTGGTTGTAAACGGTGGGCTGTGATTGGTTGTAAATGGTGGGCTGTAATTGGTTGTTAATGGTGGGTTATGATTGGTTGTTTTTGGACCAATCATGAGGTTCCGGATATGCAAATTTGAGGGATTTTAGTGGCCAATCAGAGTAAGGTTTTGAAGGTCAGGTTTTTGGAAGAAAACCAATCATAGTAATTGTTTGTTTTCTAAAAAACCTCAACAAACTCACTGGTACACAGCCTCCCACAAGGCAGCATGGTGTTAGCACAATGCTCTGTGATTCCGATGCCGTGTGGAAGGTCCTGAGGTCTCCTGGTGTACACTGGGTGGCCGTGTACATGTGATCCTCGCTGGCTGAGCTGGGGTTTGGATAGTGGGGACCGACAGATGGCGTAATGGTTACATTGCTGGACTCTCATATGACTGACTACACTTGGAGTCCAGGACCCAGCCGCTTGAAACTCAGGTCAGGTGCGTGTATGCCCACGTGCCCAAAATCCCAAGAGGAGAGTGGAGGAGAAGGGACTGTGGCATGGCCATCCCCCTGGGGGATGACTTCTCGCTGTCTCTCTGGAGACCGCACACAACCTACAGCAAAAATTTCTTTCAAAAAAAAAAACCCTGTTGGCGATCTCTCTCTCCTTCTCTTTTTCTCCTCCACCTCTCCTATGAAATAATTAAAAAAACTTCGAAATCAAGGGACCAGTAGATGGCATAATGGTTAGGTTACTGGACTCTCACATAGTCCACCACATTTGGAGTCCTGAACCTGTGACTTAAAACTCATACTGGGCGTCTGTGCGTGCATGCCCAAGATCCTGAGAGGAGGATGGAGAAGGGATTGTGATGTGGCTCCCCCCAAACCTCCAGGGCGGGGGTGACTTCTTGCTTTCTGTCTGTCTGTCTCTCTGGCTCGCACACGTGCAATATAACAAAAATCTCTAAAGAAAAAAAAAATCTTAAAATGGGAGGACCTGGAGTCAAATCTGGCCTGCTGCCAGCTATTTGACCAAGACAAGTCGCATCAAGTTTTGAGCCTGCTTTTTATGTCCAAAATGACATACCTTCAGTCACCCTGGGATGGCGATGGCATTATGTCTGTAAGGGGGTTGGGGACCAGGAAAGTGACCCGATTGTACAAGTGAATATTTTCTTCCTTTCCCTGCTGTCCCTGGCATCTGGGCTCTTCCTATCCACCGTAGCTCCTCCGCGTTACAGTTTAAGAATCTGGACCCTGCAGCCTGGGTTCAAAGTTCTGACTGTCGCTGTCTGGCTGTCATCTTGGGCATTATTTAAGAACTCTGCTTGGTTCCCTCATCTGTAAAAATAGATATAATAATAGCAGCTGCCTCTTAGGAGGCAAAGGACAGAATGACGCTAAGGACACAATGAGTTACTACGTCTTCGGAACTTAGAACAGGTTTCTGGCACCACAAAGGCACCGCAAGTGTTTGCTGCTATCATTTCCAGGGGCCTCTCCTCGCCTGCCCACTGCCCACAAACCGAAAGAGCGCTGGAAGCTGCTCCCTCCGCTCTCCCCTACCGAGGCCCGCCGTGCATTGCTACCCGCCCTCGGCGCCCGGGCTCGGCCCACCCCTAGCCCTCCAGGCGTCGAGCCCTTCCACCAGAAGCAGAGCCCGAAGGAAGGCAGCGGCCGTCTCTGGGCCCCGCGCCCCCGCCTGAGCCTGAGAACTCCGGCTGCGGGAGGTGGCGGGGCGCGGGCGCAGGTCCCCGGGGCGCGAGGCTCTGTGACGTGGCGCGGAGACCCTGGGCGGAGGCTGCCGGGCGCCCAGCCGGCGTTGGGGTTGCCAGGAGAAGGGCCGGGCTCACAAAGCCGGGTCCCGCACGGGCTCCTGACCCTCTTCGCAGGTGCCGCCTGGCCCGCCCAGGTTCCGCGGCTCCTCCCCTGCCTTGGATCTGAGGCCAGGCGCGCGGTGTGGCCTGAAGCCGGCAGCCCTTTCGCGAGCGAGCGCCGAAGGTAGGGGCCTGCGGGGAGAGCGCGCCCTGCGTGCCCAGAGGCTGCGCGCGGCTCGGCGAGAGCCTGCCCGCCCGCCCGCCTGGGCTCTGAACGCCTCCTGGTCCACAGGGCACGGGGGCCGTAGGGGACGTTGCCTTCCCGACAACTGTGTGTTTTATACCCAGAGCTACTGTTTTAGGGTTTCTTACACACAGGACGGCGTTGTGTTGGAAACAGCAGAATCAGAGCTCCCCACGGAGGAGCCAAATCTCTGCTTTTTCATCTGTACCTTCGCGGGGATCGTCATGAGGCTCAATGGGAACCAATCACTTTTACTACTATCTATTGAATACTCACTGAATTCCGGGCACTGGATTAGGCGTTGGTATTCTTTCTCTTTTTCTTTTTATTCTTTTTAGGGGGGGGGGGGGTTTTTTTTTTTTTTTTTTTT